AAATAATTAAATCAATCTGCTTTTCCGCTAAAAAAGGTTTAAAGAAAAACAACTTTTAAAAAATAATATTTCTAGGTATGTTATATTTTATTTAATATGAGATTTAATTTGGAATTTATGTAGCTGAAGGTTTTATTATTAAAAGTTAATGAAACTTTTCGCTGAAAAGTAACCGCAGCAAAATTTCAGCAAAGTTATTGCTGAAATTAGATTTTCGCATAAACTGTCGATACAGCTAGTAGAAAAAAAGCTAAAAATTGCTCTAAATCTCTCTTCAATATCTTTTAAACATTTTCCTGGCTAGAAGTTAATTTAAGTTCCTTCGTTCTTCTTCGATAAACTTTTCTCATCTTTATTTTCATTCTAAAAGAGAAGTATTGCCTTGTAAAATTAATTTACATTACTTTTTACTTGTTTTCAGAAATTTTAACGACTGCTTAAGCTTGATTTTCATGCATCCGTTGTCTGACGATTCGATGACCCGAAATTAATTTTATTGGTTGAATTTAAAGACTTCGATTGGTTAGAAAATTACGTAGTTTTTAAATTTATTGCATTTTCATGCGTCCGTTCATCGGTTATACGATTTACTTGTGATTGGTGTCATTTTATATTTTCATTTCCATAACGATTTCGCTGTGTTACTTATAGCACAGAATATCTAGCTACGCAACAGAAGCCTCGTTACATGTATAAAATTGTAGGTAGCAAAAGGAGACAGGCTTTAAAAGCCTGTCTCCAAATCAGATATTTTGATGTGGTAGTTTCGCTACTACATAATAGAGGGCAATAAATTTAAAAGAAAACAGTTTTCTACAAACAAAATTTAAAAGAATTTTGTGCAGTGTTGCCATTATTGTAATTCATATCGTAATACTTCCTGATAAAGCCTACCTTCAAATTTGCTACATCATTTAAACATATTAAAATAGATCAGAGCTGTTTTTTTCAGTTTGCCATGTTAGTTGGAATTAAATCTTATGAGCTAAATTACAATCACTTCCTGACGTTTGATTGTATAATTGAATCCTGAATTTTCATTGTAATTCGGCGACAATATAATAAGTATTGTTCTACTATTATTATAGTTCTACCACTTCCTGACGTTCGATTGTGTTCATACCAAGTTCATATCGTATAATCGGGAAAAAACGGCGTTAGCGATAGCTATGAAATGAATATCGCTGTCATTTTATATGTAAATTTATATGGGAAATGCCATCGATCGTCCTTTTCCAGCCAACTGGACGCCGTTTTTTTCAGAAGCATATCAAGTGATACCATAATATAGTACTATATTACGATACATGGCGTTCGATTGGGCTTAAACTTGGTATACTATATCTTCAGTGACATTGTAATATCATGGTACCATGAAGCATATAAAGTGGTACCTTCTATAGTACCATATTTGATGACATAGCAATATTAGGTACATGGCGGCAGTAGGGCTTAAACTTGGTATACTACGTATTTTCGGTGACATTGTAATATGATGGTACTATGATGCATATCATCTGGTACTATAATATAGTACCATATTATGTACATGGCGTTCGATTGGGCTTAAATTTGGGATACTACGTATCTTCGGTGATATTGTAATATTATGGTACCATGGAGCATAATAAGAGGTACCATAATATAGTACCATATTACGATACCATTTCCTGGCGTTCGATTGGGCTTAAACTTGTTATACTACGTATCTTCGGTTACATTGTAATATGATGGTACTATGATGCATATAAAGTGGTACCTTAATATAGTACCATATTTCAATACCATTTCCTGGCGTTCGTTTGAGGTCATATTTGATATATACTTGCGTATTTTTGATGACATTGCATTATTATGGTACCATGAAGCATATCAACTGGTACCATAATATAGTACTATATTACGTACATGGCGTTCGACTGGCTTAAACTTGGGATACTACGTATTTTCAGTGACATTGTAATATGATGGTACTATGATGTATATAAAGTGGTACCTTAATTGTGCCTTAATATAGTACCATATATACGATACCACTTCATGGCGTTCGATTGTTCTTAAATTTTGTATACTACGGATCTTCGGTGACATTGCAATATTATGGTACCTTAAAGCATATCGAGTGGTACTATAATATAGTACACTATTATGATATCATTTCCTGGAGTTCGATTGGGCCCAAATTTGGTATACTTGCGTTTCTTTATAAAGATTTGTTTAATTAATAATTTAAATTTATTTTACGAATTTTAATTTATTGTTCGATGTCGTGATAGCAACTTTTATGCCGAACTAATATATTATTAATTGTACCTGTGTCACTTTTTAAAATCTACATAGGTCTATATAAATAAGGTGGCAAACGGAAGAAATTTGTTATTATAGTATTTTTTAGTCAGTTAACATTTTTTGTACTGCATTTTAATAAATTATTTCCATTATTATTAAACTTATATTTCATTACTAACGTTCCAGCATTAATAAATATCACTATCAATCGCCCTGTATATTATTAATTTTAAAGGTAATTAAAGGTATTTTCTTAGTTAACATTATAAGGTAGTGTATATTAAAAATGTATATGTTTTGTAATAATATACTTAAAACTATTTTAATAGCCAAAGGAATAATTAATATAAGTGTATCTGACAGGAAAAGAAGAATAGAAAGAAACACATACTGCATTATACACAATAAAAAGAATGGGATGCCAATTCAAGTCTTTTTGAATCTGGCAACTGTGCATATTTAGCCGAGCTATAAGGCCGTCGACGAGCCGTTGATCCAAAACCGAAAGTTCAAAATTTCTAATTATATTCTGATTATGATATTGTCGCGCCATCTAGTATTCTATTTGTGCAATTTTAGCTCTTTCATTTCGAGTATTTTTCTGTTGCGTAGCTAGATATTCTGTGCTTATAGTCTAGGAGCTAGCAACGTTTTCGAGAGAGAATTTTTAGAAAGTGGTTTCTTTAATATATCTTTTGCTATGCTCTCCTGAACAGAGTGCGCACCGTCTGGCTGCCAGTAGACGTTGCGTTTACTACTGCACATCATATCTGTATTCAACATTTGGTCACACGCGCATCACAAATTCGCCCTGTATCTCAGGAACTAGGACTAGGACAAACCTACGTGTAGTATGCGTATTCGTGGCATTCATAAAAGAGTAGCAAAGTAATATGAAGATCGCATCATTGTATACTCATAAACGAGAAATCCCATAAAACACACGAAAATGGGATACCCTTTACAGATGTGATGCGCAGTAGTGAATCGCAGTAGTCTACCGGCATCCAGATGGCCCGCACTTTAGTCAGGAGAGCACAGGAGAGCATAGCAAAAGATATACTAAAGAACCAGCTTTCTTAAAATTCTCATTTTCCCGACGGTGCTAATTATTCTTGTTCTATTATATTTTTATTAAGGTTAGATTACATTTGCCAAAAAAGTGTCAAAACGTCCGTTATCGTACGATCAATATTATCAATCTTTTATCTAAGGGTGGTCTGAAAAGTTTCCGACCTAACAAAGATACAAGACATTTTTTCTGAATATTTTTTTTTATTTTTCAACATAAGTCCCCTTGTAACTCTACACACTTTTCCCAGCGATGCTCCCATCTCTGTAACCCGTCCAAATAGTACTCGGCGTTTTTCTCTGCAAAATAGTGGTTCACGAAGGTGATTGCCTCTTCATTTGACGAAAATCTCCGTCCTCCGAGCGCAATTTTTAAATGAGGGAACAAAAAGAAGTCGCTAGGGGCTAGATCTGGTGAGTAAGGCGGATGGTCAAGCAGTTCAAACCGCAATTCGTGGATTTTCGCCATGGCAACCGCTGAGGTGTGAGACGGTGCGTTATCTTGGTGAAACAGGATTGTCTTTTTCTGTAAATGTAGCCGTTTTTCCGTAAGTTCTGCTTTTAGCTTGTCAAGTAATAATGCGTAGTATGCTCCTGTGATGGTTTTTCCTTTTTGAAGATAATCAATTAAAATAATTCCATGACTATCCCAAAAAATAGTCGCCATCACTTTCCCAGCCGAAATAACAGTTTTTGCTTTTTTTGGAGCCGGTTCTCCCTTTGCCGTTCACTGTTTGGACTGTATTATTGTTTCTGGTGTATAGTAGTGTATCCAAGTTTCATCTACAGTAATTAATCGACGCCAAAACTCGGATTTATTGCGCCTAAACTGCGCCAACATAGCGTTGGAAATATTCATACGAACACGCTTTTGGTCTAACGTGAGCAAACGCGGCACCCAACGCGCGGACAGCTTTCTCATGCCTAAATCTTGATTTAATATGTGACAAACACGTTCTTTTGATATGTTCATAACCTCTGCTATCTCTCTCACTTTAATTCGGCGGTCGTCTAGCACCATTTGGTGAACTTTGGCGATGTTATCGTCGGTAGTTGCAGTTTTTGGACGTCCCAAACGTTCATCGTCTCCCAAGCTCTTACGGTTACGTTTAAATTCAGGTGCACAAAATTTCAGTGTGGTAAATGATGGTGCAGTAAATGACTCCCCATACACAGAATCCAACTCATGTCTAATTTGTGTAGGCGTATTGCCTTTCAAAACCAGATATTTAATGACTGATACTCGATTTTGTCCATTTTCACAAAAACACTGACATCAACTCACTCAAACGATTCTTACATAACAACTGCGCATCCAAAATGGCTGAAATTTTGGTGAATAACTGTCAACAGATGAACAATGAAAATTCACTAGCGTTTATCTACGAGTGCTGCCATCTTCACGTTGAGGTCGGAAAATTTTCAGACCATCCTGGTGGATACAAAAATTTACGGATAAAGAGCGTCGCGAAAACGCTATTGTCTTATTTTTACGATAAATCCACGAGATATGGCACATGTTTTTTTGAAACACTCTATATTTAATTCAACTCTTTCCTTAGTCTTTTTATTCAAAGGATTGTTTCTCATTTAGACATTGTTTTTTACCTCTACTTATATATCTTATTTGTTCTTTTCAGTTCGCCAAGAAGACGAGAAAAACAGGATCAGTAAACCGAGGGGAAACGTTTACATTGAAGAAAACAAACCAAAAAAATAAAGAAAAACTTGGAGGATCTTTAGGACCAATATAGGTTCATATCCAGACCACTGTTAGATGTTTGTACTGCAGCTATTTAGAAACAAATGGATGTAGGATACATGTTCCGGACCATGGACATAGTCATCTCCCGCGCCCACGGCCAGTACCTCGATTTATTTTTGGAACTCAATTTTCGACGTTTCGAAAATTCTATTGTTTTCGAAAATAAAAAATAAATTGCGAAACGGCGACGAGAATCGACGAAATCAGTCGTCAAAACATATCATTATGTAATAAGAGTTTCGTACTACTAGCCTATTAATAGCATTTTTTGATGCGCCTATTTATTTTGAATCCTGTAAGGGCCTTCACAGACGCTCAGTTATTTAGCACACTATGCTGTGAAGGCCACTTTGTTCAATTTAACTTGGGCAGTAGGCAGTAGTGCCGTACACAGGGTCGGACTGGCCATATAGTCAGGGTGGCGATTGCCAGCCTTCTCGGGTCCCCTATCTTAGAACCTACAATTAAAATAGTTCATTATTTAGTCTTAAATACAATGACAAAATAAATTGTAATAAACGTGTTTTGCGTCTAAAATGATATACTAGGAATCACGTTGTAGCTTTATTTCTATCACAAGACGCCCAAAATACTTATAAATGCTTTATTTTATACGAAAATAGTTAGTGATGGGAAAAAACGATTAATTTCAATAATCGAGTACTCGAGTTTCAAGCGATTGCAATAACCGAGTGATCGTTCGAGCGAAATATCACTCGTATTTAAAAATACGGTTTTCCACCCGTCGCTTGTTGTAAGTACTCGTTAACTCCAAGCGCCAAGCAGTAAGTTACCTGCGCAGGGCACATATTCTTTCGGTGATGAACAGCAAGTAGCAAGCGGTGAGCGATTCGCTTGATCGCTTGATTTAGTTTATTTCAAAGCATTGTCGATGTAGGTCCTAAAATTTTGTCCCTTACGGCGTCGTATAAATTTGCCACCTGCAATGTATGTAGAAAATTCGCTCGGCTTTTTATCGAGTATGTTACATTAAAATCGGATTTCAATTTATTTTATTCTAGGATCGCTTGCGTTCGTCGCTTGGTACACGTCACTTGCATGGCTCATTAATAATCGAGCAATGTCGGTTATTTCAATAATCGCGTTTTAGTTATCCCATCGCTAGAAAATAGCGAACAAGTGTGGTTTTAATTCTCACAATTTCTCTCAGAATATTCAAATTGTACTCGTTGAAATTTAATGAATATCTTTATTACAAATTGTAGCACTACTAACTATATTTTTTTGACAATCAGGTTTGCACAGGTGCGGTCTGTGCGATAAATCTGACCGTCTGTGATAGCCTTAAACCTCATAGACGGTTTTTTTGAACAGTAAAAAAAACAGGCACAAGGATATATCCATCTAATCAATAGTGGTTCGTTGCTTAAAACTAAGCCTGGAAGTGATATGGACACAATGGATCCAAAATTATTTACGGACTCTAGAAAAATATAAATACTTATTCAGACGGTTTGGAGAATAGATTTATAGTCTCGGATCCAAACTAACCATTAAACCATTAATCGTAATTTTGACTCATTTTCAATGTAAACCAATAACATTTGAATAACATCAACGGCAGACGACGCAGGATGTGGATACATGTATACCCACATTTTAAGACTTATTTATAATTGCTAGTAGTACGGAACTTGTCATATACATCTAGCTTAAACCTATATCCGGAAATATTTTCTTCCTATGTAAAATAAACTACAACTATGCATGTTTTAACAAATATTTCCCAAATCGTTTAGAAATACTGAAATACTGACTTTAGAACAGTAGATTTTACTATTAGAGAAAAATGCCGTTTAACAGCTATATTTAGACAACTTAAGAAATATTTTTAACTGTACAGTTTACAATTATGACTATTTATTTTTCTCCCATTTTTTTAATGACACTGTTAGATAAAACTACTGACGTTTAACCAGAGTGATAATTTGGATAGTATAGAAATGGCGCATATCTTTTAAGCTCCATCTAGACATAACGTTTTATGCGTTATACCATACTTCTTACCTATCAGTCAAAACGTTTGTACACGAAAAAACTGATTTTTTATTCGAACTTGATAGTCGGAAGACCAGTTAACGTAAGCCGTGACGTAGCTAGGTAACCAAGGGCCCTGGGGCAAATTATAAAATGGGGCCCCACTGCTATGTATACTGATTAGGTTTACAATTAATGCTTGGTGTAGGTTTAGCTAATAAAACGAAATAGAGAAGATTTAAGGGTTTATTATACAGGGTGTCCCAGAAATAAATGCAAGTATTTTAAGGTAGATCTCGATAAAAGAAACATATTTTTTCTTTACCGTTTTTCAAATAAGTCCAAAATAACGGAGTTATTTTACTTTTAAAATTAAAAAAAAATGATTTTTTGCTAAAATTTTGAGAACCACTGGATCTTTTCTGGATTTTCTTTCATGTAAATTTAATCTAATATTTATGTTGCAATATTATCAAGAAATTATGTTTTTAACTAAAAACTAAAAAAAATTCCAAAAATTTTTTCAAAAAATATCGAATTTTCCAAAAAAAAAATCGCGAAAAGAACCTCATAGGAGTGTCTCTGGGATTGAACTTTACTACTATATTTCTGGGACACCCTGTATAAAGGTCGGGCCTACCAACTGACTAAATAACAATTATATTTACAATTTTTTCCTAGCTTTAGTTTTTGCAAAAGTATCAATGACTTCGTTTAAATCCAGGCTTGATGCGGTTTTATTTTTAATTGCTATTAGCGATAAATGTCGGATTTGAATTTGGCCCATATTATTTCTTAAATAATTTTTTATTTTTTTTAATTTGCTAAATGACCTTTCAGCTGCTGCAGAAGTGACAGAAATTGTAAAGAATAATAGCAACGCTGTAAATACGTCCGTTAGGTCGCATTATAGCACTCCATATTTGCTCATTATTTCCTTACATAATTGGTGAACAGTCCATGCTTGAGTTAGTTGAGGTAAAACTAGGTGGTAAATATTAGTAAATTGAAGTGAAAAACTAGGGCCTATTATATCTGAATATTTTCTTTGGAAATCGTCACACTTTTGTAATAAAGTTGCTTCATAATAAAAATGTTGGTGTTAGAAAATCGAATATGTATATGACAGACTGCACTCATACCAATAAAACGTGTATCTAATTGAGATATTATTGTGTGTACATTATTGAAAATCCCAATTTTAAATATTTTTCTCGGTTTGGAAATCGGTGAGGAAATCTATAGATTTGACACGATTTATTGCGGACATCAATATGAGTGGTAAAATCAAATAAAATTGAACCACTATATTAACCAGTACAAAAAAGTTTATTGACATTGGCTTACTTACTCCTGATAAAGCATTAATTTTATTAACCGTTCTCGAAAAAAAAATGTCAACTCGAATTCACAATAAAACGCACATCGATGAATAATAAAACGCACATATCACTATCCGTCACATTGACAACACTGCCAACCAACAGAAAGAATTTAGGGGAATTCCCTAGACATAACTTTTTGAATTTCTCTCAACTGAGTTGTCATGATTAAAGTGGGGTTGCAACCTGTCATATTTATTTTGAAAATGGGAGAAATTTCCAAAAGTTCAGTTCGATCAAGATTTCTGGTAAGGATTCGAGGGCCCCCTGAGCTTGAGGGCCCCGGGGCACTGCCCCGCCTAGCCCCTAGGTAGCTACGCCACTGAACGTAAGGTAAAACGTTATGTCTAGGCGTGTCTTTAGAATCACCCTTTAGAGGGTAGCCACCACAACTTTTAGTTCTCTACTTTCTCATTACAGTATTATAGGTAAATCTTAAGTTGTAGGCGATTTTTTTAGACATCTGTGATTAGCCACTGCTACTTTTCAAATCATCCTGTATAATTACAATACATCAGTGGCGGTTAGGGCTAAATGGTATAGAGGGGTACGCGTCCACCCAATCGTCAAGATAAATTGAAAGAGAGAAATATACAGGACGTTTCATAAATATTTGCAATCTCTTGTAGGGAGATTCCTCACGTAAAGATAAGATTTATTTTTATATGAACAACGGTCAGATTCTGCTTTGTTTCGTAGCTTACAGGGTTAAAATTTTTCTTTTCGTTATATTATAATTTTCTTTTATTAAATAATTTCATGCTAAAAAAAGTCTCATCAGATTCACTACGGATATGCATATGGGCTATCATTGGAATAATTTTCAAAAAAAAAAGACACGTGCGCCACTGACTTTTTTTCTCTTGTCCCCAAAAATGTGTAGGCCGTTTAATTACGATTAAAAGTTATATCTTGATATTTTGTCAATTTAGATCTCCTTGATGAGATAAAAGCACTTTTAATATTTGTTTTTAAATCTTCACCAAAGATATCGAAATCGACAAAATATCAAGAGACAACTTTTAATCAGCATTAAACGATCCGCGTCGACCATTTAAGAGACAAAATGTCAGTCACGTAGAAGTTTCTTTTTAGAAAATTATTCCAGGGCAGCGGCGTGCGGTGACAATTATAGGCGGGGAAGCGAATCGGTAAAAAAACCTATTTCGAGACATTACTTTTACATTTTCTTAAAAAACTTACCTTTGAAAACTCCGAGGCCAATTCCATTGTTCGATTAAAATTTTATCGAAAATTGTTAAACAAATAAAAACACATAAAGTTATAATAGTTAAAATACGATATTTTAAATTAATTTTCTAAAGCACTTGACGCGCGATAGGCACCTATCTGTATTTGAGGTCTATTCGTCTATCAGCCATTGCAAATTTGTCTATAACATCATCATAAAATTTTGGATATAATTTATTATAATATTACCAACCTATAAAATCGCAAGCGATAAATTAAAAGTCGAGGAAGGCGGCCGAAAGATCGCTGCCGTGGCTAGCAACTGTGCGCGATTTTCCGGCTTAAATTTGTCGTTTGCGTTCGAGGTCAATAACACCTACATGAAGGAGGGATAGGCGACCGGCGACGATTCCCAGGCGCGCATCCATGCAGTAAAAGGCTAATTAAATTTACTAGATACGTTTATGTAAGGTTTCAAATAAATAATTTTAACAAATTAAATTAAGCTTTTGTTATAAAATAACAGTATTATTAACGTTTAACTATTTTATTTTTTTCATCTTTAAAAAGTTTAGGGAAGCGGTGCTTCCCCCGCTTCCATGGACCGCACACCGCTGTTCCAGGGATAGCCCATATGCACGTCCCTGATCAATCTGTCGACATTATTTATTAATATTAAAATATGTAGCAGTTTTACCAGAGTTTTATCAGAGTATACTTTTACCATGACATTACATCACCCTCACTCACAAGGCGATTGGTAGGAAATTATAATAAGCCGACTATAATAGAAAGACTTTAAAGAAGACTCCTGTCGCTACGAAACCAAAGAGAATCAGACCTATGTTGACATAAAAAATCTTATTTTTACTTGAGGAATCTGCCCACGAGAGATATATTTCACGTTTTTTGAAATACCCTGTAGAATTACACTTTATAGCTCAATTAATATCATTTCTAGCATGAAAAGTTAAAGGATAGATTTTATGGACTAAAAATAATAGATCAGAGTAGTTTTCGTGAAGTCTGTGCCTTCAGAACTCACGAGCCGGCAATGTAAAACATTAATATATTAAACAGTCAGATTCTTGTCAAATTTTAAACGATTTGTAAAAATATAGATATGGTATTGTTAGAAGAAAATATAATAACATTTTGCACCTATCCATT